GAGCTGGCTCCAGCCTGCAGCCCCCGTCTGATCTGTGCTATTCTCAGGAGCTTAGAGCGGCGCTGGGGAGGGCAAAGTCCTGCTCCGTGCACACCCTGCTCCTCTGAGCCCCCCGAGGGATATTCCTGAGACTCTTGCCAAGCCTCCCTGTCACAGGCACGAGCAGAGAGCGTGCTTGGGGGAGTGGCCATTGCTATTTGCACAAGGGGCAGGTGGCCTGTCCCTGCAGGGGGCGTTGCAGCGCAGCTGGGTGGGGAGCTCTCCCTGACGGTCAGGGCGGGACCCCAGGGCACGTCTCAGCTAGCTTGGGGGGTGTCTCCTGGCTTCCCCTGGGGTTGGGGGCTGGGCCGCAGAGAGGGCGGGTGGTGAAGTTTCAGGCCCACCAGGGCCCATTGGATTGTGCCGTGTAAGCCAGGCCAGGAACCATCCGCCGGAGCAGGGGGTGACGGGTCTCTCTCTCCTTTGCCCCAGGGCCCTGACAAAGCCCGCTCTCAGCTGTTGATTGTGGACCGGAGCTTCGACCTGGTGTCCCCACTGCTGCATGAGCTCACCTTCCAGGCCATGGCCTACGAACTGCTCAGCATCGAGAACAACACCTACAGGTAGGGCCTGGCTGCCAGCAGGGGGCGCCCCGCACTCCTCAGGCGGGCTGGGGGGATGGGACCCAGGCACCTGCACTGCTCTGTAGCTCCCACGCTCGGAGGAGGGGTGTCACAGCCTGACCCCATCCCCCCTCCGCAGGTACGAGACAACGGGCGCCAGCGACTCACGGGAGAAGGAGGCGCTGCTGGATGAAAATGATGAACTCTGGGTGCAACTACGCCACCTGCACATCGCTGACGTCTCCAAGTGAGCGCGCTCAGCCCTGCCCCTGCCCTCTGTGCCCCGTCTGTCCCCCCGGATATGCCCCTCCGTGCCCCACCCAGGGCCGGGACCCATCCGCCCCCGCCCCCCCCGGACACACCACTTTGTGCCCCACCCAATGCCTAGTGCCGGGACTCCCTACCCCCCCTTCAGCACACCTCTCCCCTCCCGGCCCAGTGCCAGGACCCCCTACCCCCACTTTGGCACAGCCCTCTCCTCCCCGCCCACTGCCAGGACCTCCCCCTCGGACACACTT